ACCCCAGGACTCTGCTGCCAAGCGGGGCAGGGGGCTGCGGGGGTGGGTGCCCATGCCCCTGCCGTGCGGGGGTGGGCAGCCAACAGGGCCTCGGCTATTTCTTGGAAATTTTGCAGCATTCATTTCAGTGCAAATAAAAGCTGTCATTGCCGGAGAAATGATACTGATCGGGGTCTGAAAAGACAGCAAATTACCCGCCTGAAAATGCACCGCTGGAAAAAAATGCATATTAAACACACAAAAAGGCACTTTGCCATCAGCCGCGCTTCCCCCGCCGCTCCAGAATAACCACACTTTACATAATTCTCCCTCTCCACCTCCGAATTAATTTCGCAGACAGAGGCAGAGGCAACCCTCTGACAATAGCGGAGGGGAGACGCGGCGGCGGCGGGGGGAGTGGGGCTGGGGGCTGCTGCGGGAGTGCCTTGCTCTGAGCTGGGGGCACGGCAGGAATGGGATGCCAGGTTTGGAGCCTGGGGAAACCGAGGGGTTTTGGGGGGGAGGGGGGCGACGACGACGACTGAGGGGTTTGGGAAAGGTGAGTCCACGGGTGAGAGTTGCGGGTAATGGATGTACCCAGCTGTGGGGCGGAGCACTCTCGTACTCCCGCCTTGGGTGCTGGGGATGGGCCTCTTTGGGGTGGGACTTGTGGGGTGATGCCCACCCTAAACAGGCAAGTCTCGGCCCAGGTGTTTCCTACAAGGGACAACCCCTCGCTGGTGCAAATCTTCGCCAGGCATGTGGGTGCACCAAAAGGACACCATGAGGCCGTGCTGCCCACCCAGGCTGACACTCCCAAACTAGCACCCCTGTAAGAAACCCCCGGGAACCTGCCCTATTTTATTGGGCGTGAAGGCACCATGCCCTGCACCCCAGCACTGCCGCGGGAGCACAGCGGGCAGAGCGGGGTCACAGTGGTGATGGTGGGGGGTTCATCTGGCTGGGTGCTCAGCACTGAGGGGCTGACAGAGGTGAGAGCGGATGGCGGAGGTTGGTACCGCGCTGCTTTGCATTTTCAATGACAGACCCATGCCGGGTGCTCGGGAGAGTGGAAAAATCTTATTTGTCACCTGCTGGCGATGCACGGAGGCTCCCGCGCCGCGGCTAATCTTGGGGAAAATGAGGATGCCGGCGGGGTGGCCCGCGGGATGGGCAGGGCGGAGTGGGGCGGGCGAGCTGGGTGATGATGAGCGCCGGGCCGCGGGATGCTCACACCCACCTGGTGATCTCTGGCTGTGTTGGCCCCATGGCACGGATCCTGCTGTTGGGTGTGAGTGGGCTGGGCAGTGCGTGGGCATCCAGAAGCAGGTGCCCTGTCCCCCAGCCCAGTCTGCAAAGGGGTAAACTATTTTCTTCCATTCCAGCTCCAGCAGCAGCTGCTCGCCTCGCAGTACCAGTTCCACAGGTTTGCACTGCTTGCGCACCCTCTCAGGGCACTCAGCGGACTTTTTTTGGGAAAGTCAACATTTGGAAGAGGGTGCAGGCACTACCTGATGCCCCATATTTACCCACAGGTGCCCATCCCACAGCTGCTGTATCCTGACTTTTTGAGATGCCAACACCTGCGGGACTCTGCAGCGCTCTGCGGCCAGCTCAGATTTATCCATTATTTTATATCCACACGCCTTTAATTTTTACAGCCCTGTTGGAGCAATACCCAGGGCTGTTAATAACACCAGGCCCTCCCCGCCCCCCACGTGCATCCATCATGCTCCAACCAAGGTACCAAGTGTGTCTCAGGCCTGGGTGAGTGCAGGCACGGGGAGTGCCATGCTCCTGTCTCCCAGCCAGCAGCCTCATGAGCAGCAGGGTGGATTCCCTGTGCCCACCCATGAAGCAGCCTGACTGGGTGCCCTTGCATCCCACTGGAGTTGGTGATACCTGGCTGCTTTGGATGCCTGAGCCTGAGGTGTCTCTCCCGTGGGATTCATGGTTCTCTCTGCCTTGGCATGTGCCCCATGAAAGCTGAGCTGCAACACCTGCGCTTGTGTTTAGTGTGCCAGGGTACGCGTGGATGGCAGTGAGTGCTTGAGTGTGAGAATGTGTGTGAAGGCACAGAGTGTGTGTCTGTGCTGGTGCGTGTCAGTGTGTGTGAGTGTACACGTGATGTACATGTGTGTCACTGCCTGTGCAGGTGCTGCTGGGTCTGGCTGCTGTAGAAGGCACCATGCCTGGGCCATGCCCAGCACCCCAGCACAGGAAAGAGCAGCCTCAGCAGCCCCAGGCACCAAGAGCTGAGCCTGGAGCCAGCCCACAGTACCCACAGGACAAGAGAGCAGGTCCCACATCACCGAGCCACCTGTGCCATGACAAGCAGGGCCCCATGCTACAGCACAGCACCCAGTATGTGCTGTCCCTCCCCAGCACGCAGGAGACCCAGAGCTCCCTCTGAGCACCCGGGGATGTGCTGGCACGGGAGAGTGAGGGTAGCAGGGCACCCCTGAGTGCCACAGGCAGGATGGTCGAGGGGTGCCAGAGTACCCAGGCACTGCAGGGGGTCACCGTGGGAATTGCTGGGCTATAAATCTCCTTGCTGGGCCCCCCCGTGGCAGAGCAGCTCACGATATTTATGTTGGGGATTTATCTGCAATGCAGTTTAATATTCCCGGACCTTTGCGTGTGTGTTCGAATGCACGGCTTCCTCCTCGTGCCACCCCTGCCACCCCCGTGCCCACCGTCTCACTCGGAGCCTTTCAGGCTCTGTCTCCTGCCCACCCACAGTCCTGTCGCCTTGCACCCAGTCTGGCAGAAGGGCTCCGGGCCGGGCCGGGCCCCGCAGGGTTCCCGGGCAGGGAGGGCGGGGGTGCCGCGCCGCCGGGATGCTCCTGGCACAGGCCGTCGGCCGTGCCCACCCGTGCCCCTCCTGGGTGTCCGGCTGCCGGGGGCTGGCGGCAGGGTCCCCGGACGGGGGGTGCCAGGCGGACTGGTACTGCCAGCCCTGTGCCAGCCCCCCCTGGGTAAAGGGGCCCAGGGACACCCCTGCCCTACCTCCCCGCCGGCGAGGATGAGGTAAGGCTGGCGGGTGGCACAGGGCTGCTTCTTTTGCATAATAATCTCGTTAATGGAGCCTGGCCTGCGAGAGAGCCGGGCTGGAGACACCACCCCCTCCCCGCCCCGCCGCCTCCCTCCGGCCCCGCAGCTCCGCCAGCCGCGGCGCGGGGCGCGGAGCGGAGCGGAGCGCGGGGCGCACAGCCGGACCGGTGGCGCGGGGTCGGCCAGTCCCCGGCAGCCTCCTGACACCTCGAGAGAGAGCCGGTGAGCACCTCCAGGGTCCCCGAGCATCCCGGACCGCGACCCCGAGCATCCCGGCAGCGTCGCCCCAGCATCCCGGGAGCATCCTCCAAGTACCTCGGTGAGCAAACGACGAGCGACCGCCGAGCACCCGCGTACTTCCCGGGCAGCAGAACGAAGATCATCCCCCCAGCATCCCTCGAGTACCTCGGTGAGCACCCCGCGAGCAGCCCGGGGAGCAGTCCCCGTGCCTGCCGGCTAGCACTCCCCGAGCATCCCCCGAATATCCCGGGGATCATCCTGAGGAGCACTTCCCGAGCACACCTCGAGCAACCCTCGATCATGGCCCCGGGCACCAAAGGCATCATCCCGGCATCTCCCTAGCACCTCCCGAGCATTTCCCTACCATACCGGCAAGCACCTTCCCGAACATACAGGGCAGGCAGCATCCTCCGAGCATCGCGGGCAGCATCCCCCGGGAACCCCCGAGCATCCACTGAGCATCTCGGGCAGCGTACCGAGCAGCATCCCTCGAGCTTCCTGGGCAGCCCCCTGCCCTCCCCACGCTTTGCCTTGCCGGCTGCCGTCCCCGCTAACTTTCCGACGGCAGCAGCTCCGTGGCACGGGCACTGCCGGGCTGCTGCGCCGGGGCACAACTTTGCCCAAGTTGCGGAAGGAAAAGGGGCACGGGGCAGCCGCGCTGTGGGGATACTGGCCACCTCCCGAGCAGCTTTTTGTCCCCAACCCGTCCTCCCCCACCTGCAAATCCAGATACTATTCTGCACCAAGCAAGAAGCGGAGTCTTCTTTTGAACTCCCCCCCCCAACCCATATATGTCCCCACCCTCCTTTCCCCGTGGGCAGACCCCCTCCTCCCCCGCGTGTCACCCTGGCAGACACCCCTGCCTGTCGTGCACCAGCCAGTGGAGAGGGGTTGGGTGGATGGTGGTGGTGATTGTGGGGGAATGCTGTAATATGTCCACGGGGTGTAGGGTTCCCCCCAGACGGGAATTAACTTTGTTCACACATCACGCACCACGCCACAGTTTGACACAATGCAATGCAACACAGCACACCACCACCCCACACAGCACAATGCAACACCGCCTGCCACGGCGCAGCACCAGCCGTGCAACCCAGCGTGGGGCCACACAACCTGACCCAGCCCACGGCACCCCAGCCCCATGGTTCCCCTCACAAATCTTCCCAAAATCCCTCTTTCCCAAGCTGCTCACCCCATCCGTACCTCACCCAGAGAGACTGGCAGCCCTGTGCTCCCCCTGGCTGGGAAGGGTTCTCATGGAGCTGAGTTTGGGTTCACTGGATCACCTTGGACATCCACCCAGCATGGGTGCTCTGGCTGGAGTGCTGTGTGGGTGTGGGGGTGTGAGATTATCTGTGCCAGTGACTGAAACCTGCCATCATGCAGGTGTCCTGTCACCAAAGGAACTGGCAGAGGGGACAGCCATGGGGTAGATGTGCCACCAAGCTCCTGGCACTATGGACAACCTCAGTGCTAGCAGTGGGGCACACATGGGGACGGATATAGAGGCAGCAGTGACGACAAGAAGCAACCCCTCCGCCCTTGCTCCTCCCAACCCCCTCTTATCCATCTCCTCTGCCTTTTCCAGGAGCTTCCTTACTCACCCGGACATCAGCACTTCCCTCTGGCAGGCACGGCTCCGGCATGAACTGTGGGCTGCCTGAGCCTGCGCTCCACCTGCCCTGAGCTCCCTGCACCAGTGCGGCTGGCAGGGAGCCCCATCCCCGGCCATGGAGAAGACCTACTCGTTGACAGCCCACTATGATGAGTTTCAGGAGGTGAAGTACGTGAGCAAGTACCAGAGCGGGACGCTGCCCAACGGCTTCGCCCTCCAGCTGGGCGCGGGGGCCAAGAAGCGCCGTGGGGGGCTGCCACGCTGGAGCCGCCGGGAGGTCTGTCTGCTCTCAGGGCTGGTCTTTGCTGCGGGGCTCTGCGTCATCTTGACGTGCATGCTGGTCCTCAAGTACCTGGCGACCGAAGGGGACAGCTACTGCCTGGAGGGGTGCCAGGAGAAGAAGGCCTTCCTGCGGGCATCCCGCTTCCTAAGTGCCAACATGGATGCTACCATCGACCCTTGCCAGGACTTCTACTCCTTCGCCTGTGGCGGCTGGCTCCGGCGACATGGCATCCCTGAGGACAAGCTGGTGTACGGCACCATCGGGGCCATCGCCGAGCAGAACGAGGCCAAGCTGCGGGCGCTGCTGAGCCGCCCCGTGCGGCGCCGAGCCCGCGCCTCGGCAGAGAGGAAGGTCAAGGAGTTTTTCCGCTCGTGCCTGGACCGGGCTGAGATCGATCGGCTTGGCCCCCGGCCCATGCTGGAGGTCATCGGGGAGTGCGGTGGCTGGGATGCCCCTCCGGACCGCAGGGACATCAACGAGCTGCTCTACAAGACACAGGGCGTCTACAGCGCTGCCGTGCTCTTCTCCCTCACCGTCAGCCTGGACGAGAGGAACACTTCCCGCTACGTCATCCGGGTGAGGGCACCGTGCCCCTGCGACTGCCCCTGCCCCAGCCACCCAGCAGGGCCACTGACACCTGCCTGATGTCACTGTCCTTGTTGCAGAGGACTGAGTGCCTGCGCAGTGTCTGGGCTTGGCTATAGCAGATGGCTGGGCTGGGGACCCCTCCTGTCCTTGGGGACCCTCCTGTCTTTCCAGCATGGGACCCCTGTGTCAGGCTACCCTGGGCTGAGGGTGGCACCTCCAGGACAGGGCTGGGGACATGGGCAGAGGGATGCACTGAGTGAGGCAGTGCCACCTGCCTGGCTGCTGAGGACAGCCCAGCAGGGCACCAGGGTCTCCACAGTGCTGGAGCAAAGCCCCTCACCTTGGCACTGTGGCTGCCACCTGTACACAGGGGGCAAGTCCCAGGCAGAGGCAGGGAGATGCCCACCAAGCCCCCAGTAGTGTGTCAGGGCATTTTCCCATGGCTTTCTCAGTCTTTCCCACCCCTGCCAGACCATGTCAGTCACCCTGAGGTGCCACCAGAGTAAAGGTGGGCTTTACCTGGCTGGCCAAGTCTCTTGGTGGGTGTGGGGGTGCAGTGGTGGGCATGGTGGGAGCACAGCAATGGCACAGCGGGGATACCGTGGTGGGCTCGGTGATGGGCATGGAGGTGGGAATAGCAGGGAAAGGGAGGGCACGGGTGTGCATGGTGGTGGCGTGGTGGGGACGAGGTGGTGGTGATGGCGAGGGCAGTGGGGGGACACAGTGGAGGAGACGAGCCGCCCGGTTCCCTGTGAGATGGTGGGGCAGTGGGATGTGAATGGGTGTGCAGGGCCGGGGCCGCTCGCTGCCGGCTCCGGGCCGCGCGTGTGTAACACTAGAGGGAGCGTCTGCCACAGGGAAAGGGTGGGCGGGCTGAGCGGGGACCGGGAGTGCGCGGGGAGGGACACAGTGGACGTGGGGGGAGATGGGTGTGACAGCCAGGGCTAAGGGTCAGGGCTTGGGGTATCGGGGGGTTGTGCGAGGGGTGTGAGGGGACAGGGTGTATGAGGGGGCTGAGGGTGTGTGTGGGGGCCGCAGGTTTCAGCATCTGCAAAGGGGGCAGAGGTGATGAGGGAGATGGGGGAGGAAGGCTGGAGGTGGCCCTGGCTGTGCTGCGGCTGTGTGAGTGGAGGGGAGATGCTGAAGTGAGTTGTGGGGAGCTGATCCAGAGACAAGGAGAGGGGGCATGTGTGTGTGTGTGTGTGTGTGTGTGTGCGTAGAGCGGGGTAAAATGGCTGGTGCCCATGTAGGGGTGTGAGCATCCATGGCCGTGTGTCCAGAGGGGCGAGTTCCCTGTGTGCTTGTGTGTGAGTGTGCACGTACCTGAGCAGTGTGCTCAGGTGTGTGCATGGCTCGGGGGCTGTGCCTGTGGTTACAGCCCAGCAGGGCTGAGTGTGAAGAGCAAGGGTGTCCATGCAGCTCGCCATGCAGGCTGCAGCGCTGCAGTGGGGCTGGCCATGGGGCAGGTGGGGGACACCAGGGAGCAGGGACGGGCAGAGTGGTGGCAGCACAGGGCTATGAGGCAGCCTGTGTGCCAGTCAGGCCATGGAGCAGGGGCCTGCTCTCTGCCCAGCACTCCCAGCCTGTTGCATGCTGCCTGCTGCAGCTGCAGCAGCCTCTAGCAGGAGGGAAACTGAGGCAGCGACGTGCCCGTTCCTGGGGCTGCTCCAGCGCACTGCCATCCTTCGGCTCCAGGGACACCAGGGCCACTCTGCGGCCCGGGGAAGGCGAGGGGTGGCGGGCTCAGCACAGCGCCCTCCCTCTGCTCACCCAGTGCCCGTCTCTTGCCCAGATCGACCAGGACGGGCTGACCCTGCCCGAACGGACCCTCTACCTGGGGCAGGATGAGGAGAGCGAGAAGGTGAGGGGGCACAAGGATGCCGTGGGGACACCAGCAGAGGGACCGGCAGGCAGCATGGCTGGCAGACAGAGGGCACCCACTGCCAGCAGTGCCAGGGACTGGGGTGTCAGGGGACAGTGGGGGGTGGCCCTGAGCATCCTTTTCCTCTGAACAGATCCTGGCTGCATACCGAGTGTTCATGGAGCGACTGCTCACCCTCCTGGGGGCTGAGCACGTGGAGCAGAAAGCCCAGGAGATCCTGCAGCTGGAGCAGCACCTCGCCAATGTGAGAGGGATACATGCCACGAACCTTGGGGTGCCCTTGTCCAGCCTTGGACATCCCAGCCACAGATTTTTGGGGACATCCATATCTGCTTCTGAGCAATCTCATTCCAATCCCTCCATGGGGACTTCCACTCCCAGCCCTTGGGGACCTTCAGACCTAGAATTTGGGGATCTCATCCTCTTGAGGACCTCACAGCAGAGCTTCAGGCAGCCAGTCCCACACCCTGAGAACCCCCAGTCCCAGCCCTTGGGGCAACCACTCCAGCCCCGCATCTAGTCCTTGTGAGGCCACTCTGGACCCTTGTAGATTCCATATACAGGTCTTGGGGACATTATTCTGGATCTTGGAGGGACATGTGTTCCCATTCCTCAGAGAACTCAGTTCCTTGGGACCTTCTGACCAGCCCTCAGGGTCCCACCGGCAGCAGAGGGTTCCTGGGGCAGGGAGTGGGAAGGATGTGGGTCAGTACCCACATTAGAGCTGCCCTGTTGCCCAGTCACGTGCCCCATCCCAGTGTACTATCCCTGTGTCACCCTCAAGGTGGGCAGTGGGATGGTGACAGCCATGCCCACCCTGTGCAGATCACAGTGTCCGAGTACGACGACGTGCGCAGGGATGTTGGCAGCATGTACCACAAAGTGACCCTGGCTGAGCTGCAGCGCATCACTCCCACGGTGAGTACCCCTGGTGCCAGCCTGTCAGCCTGTCCCCCATCTGCCTGTGCCCCACACTTGTCCCTGTCCCCCTGCTCCATGCCCTCAATGCTCACCACCTCTCCCAGTTAAATCCACTTGAGGATAATGCACTCCTCTGGTGGGAGATTGGAAAGCCTGGAGGGGTCCCCTCCAGGGTGGCATGGAGTGGGGGTCCCCATGCCCCCTGACAGTGCCTGCCCTGGCAGCTCAAGTGGAAGCGCTTGCTGGACCGCATCTTCCATGACAACTTCTCGGAGGAGGAGGAGGTGGTGCTGCTGGCCACCGACTACATGCACAAGGTGTCCAACCTCATCCGTGTGACACCCAGCAGGTGAGAGGGGCTGGCACCCCTGTGCCCCTGGCACCTTTCCCAGCCTGGCAGGGGGAGCAGGACAGCTGTGCCTGGAACCTCCCACCATCATCCTCCTCCTGCTGGGGCAATGCCGGGCTGGGCACAGAAAATCAGGGGAGGCTTGTGGGAAAAGGCCCTGTTGTGAACCCCACGGCACCCCGGTCGTGCCTGGACACCTGCTGAGCCACTCCTGCCAGAGGTCAGCAGACTCATCGCACATCAGGGAGGGACACGGTGCCAGAATGTCCCTGTGCCCCCACCAGCCATGGCCCCCTGTGTCCCTGAGCAGAGTGTCCCCATCCTGGCACATGCTGCCACCCTTCCCTGTGCCTGGGGACATGCTGAGGGCTGCTCCCGTCCCTGTCACAGGATCCTTCACAACTACATGCTGTGGCGCATCGTGGTGGTGCTGAGCGAGCACCTCTCCACGCCCTTCCGCGACGCCATCCACGAGCTCTCCAAGGAGATGGAGGGCAATGAGAAGCAGCTGGAGCCGGGTAAGATCTGCCTGAGCCAGGCCAACAAGCACTTCGGCATGGCCCTGGGAGCTCTCTTCGTTGAGGAGCACTTCTCCTCTGCCAGCAAAGCCAAGGTAGGTGATGCTGCCTGTGGGCAGGAAGATACCACAATCTCCCATCACCTTGCCAAAGTGCCTACTGCCCCCACCAAGGGCTGTCTGGCTGGTGATGGATGGTGGAGATGCCACGCCAGCACCATGGTGACCCACCATAGGTGCAGCAGCTGGTGGAGGACATCAAATACATCCTCGACCAGCGCCTGGATGAGCTGGACTGGATGGACGAGGAGACACGGAGAGCAGCCAGGGCCAAGGTAGTGGCCCCTAGCATGCACTCCTGTCTTTGGCCCCATCACCAGTGCAGAGGCACATGGGATAGGGGCCTGAACCCACCACTGATTTTGCCCACAGCTCCGGTACATGATGGTGATGATTGGGTACCCTGATTTCCTGCTGAAGCCAGAGGCCATTGACAAGGAATATGAGGCAAGGGATAGCTCAGGAGCATGTGAGGACATGGGGACATAGTGGGGGAAGGTGTTCCCCACATTTGCATCAGGCTCTGTGGAGGCACCACCCCAAAACAAGCCCCCTCCTGGTGCTCACAGTGCTCACTGCTGGCAGGGTGCCCCACACCAGCAGTGCCATACAGTCCCTGGGGTCTGGGATGGTGTCTCCTTCCCCACACTGCAGCTCCCAGAGCTCAGCCTCATCCTTGGCAAGGACTGGGGGTGCTGGTGTGGTCCAAGGACCTCATGGAACTGACAGAGAAGCAGCTGCCCCTATGGACACACAGCATGGGACATGAGAATACACTTGTGACACATCCACACCGTCACCAAGGCTCACAGGGGTGGGAGGACACCACAGGCCTGCCCTCCGCACTCTTGGGGCTGGCATCTCCTCTGATGTAGCTGTGCCCCCCAGTTTGAGGTGGATGAGAAGACCTACTTCAAGAACATCCTCAACAGCATCGCCTTCGGCATCAGGCTCTCGGTGAAGAAGATCCGGCAGGAGGTGGATAAATCCACGTGGGTATCCCCTTGCCCTGGGGGGACATGGAGGGGCCCAGCATGGTGCCACCAGTGTCCCCTGTCCCCATGCCCAGATGCAGCCTACAGGCTGTAGGCAGAAGGGCACAAGGATGCCAGGAGTGCCCCCCCTGTTCCCCAGCTGTGCAGAGGGATGGCACTTCCATGTCCCTCGGTGTTGTGCAGCCCAGCACTGCTGTCTCTCCTTGCAGGTGGCTGCTGCCTCCCCAGGCACTGAACGCCTACTACCTGCCCAACAAGAACCAGATGGGTAAGCACTGCCCGCCCCCGATCCGCCCCTGGGGCGGGATGGGAACAAGGCCCAGGGTCCTGTGGCGCTGGGTGATGCTGTGGGTGGGTACAGGGCAGGGTGACACCCAACAATGTTCTCCTGTGTCCTCAGTGTTCCCTGCTGGCATACTGCAGCCCACACTCTACGACCCCGAGTTCCCGCAGTGAGTGTGGGGCTGGGGGATGGCTGGGGCGTTGCCATGTCATGGGGTCACCCCTATCCCTGCCAGCACCGTGCTCTCCACTCTCACACCTCTGTTCCCCACCCAAACAGGTCACTGAACTATGGTGGGATTGGCACCATCATTGGGCACGAGCTGACCCATGGCTACGATGACTGGGGTGAGTGTCCTTCCTATATCCTGCCCGGATGTGAGGATGGTCTGAGGCAGCTAGGCAGGACACCTGGGTCCCTTGGGACTCCTGGAGGTGGTGGTTGCCTTGGCAGGGGGACAGTACGACCGGCACGGGAACCTGGTGCACTGGTGGACGGAGCGGTCGTACAGCAAGTTCCTGAAGAAGGCGCAGTGCATCGTCAACCTCTACGACAACTTCACTGTCTACAACCAGAGGGTGAGACCCCCCTCTCACCCAGCACAGCTGCCCCACAGTGGGGTCACTGCTGCCCCATTGCTTAGGGCTGGGTGCCTGCAGAACTGACTCTGCCCTGTCCAGTCCTGAGACCAACAATTCATCACACCTTAGCTTGGAAATTCCTCTGGGCATTGGCTGCAGCCTCGGTGCCAGCATGGGGATGGGGACACCTCTATTCCTGCTGTCATTTCTCCTCTCTTGGCAGGTGAATGGCAAACACACACTGGGGGAGAACATCGCTGACATGGGGGGGCTCAAACTGGCCTACTACGTAAGTGTCCCCCACCCTGGGTGTCACAGCCATTGGGCAGCTGCTTGTGCCTTCCCTGTTGAGTGGGAGGAGATGCCCCAAGCCCTCCTCACTCCCTGCAGGCAGGGGTGAGCACAATCCTGATTGCTGGTGGCTGGGGCCTTGGGGGTGGGTCCAGGGTGGGTTTGGGGGAGTACCCAGGCCATGCTGAGGGCACCCCTTGTTCTCCAGGCCTACCAGAAGTGGGTGAGGGAGCACGGCCCCGAGCACCCCCTGCACCACATGAAATACACACACGACCAGCTCTTCTTCATCGCCTTTGCCCAGGTGAGCCCCTGTGCTCCTCACAAGTAACAGCTATTGAGGCAGGAGGGTCACCTTGTGTGGGGCCAGCAGCCCAAAGGGATGGGGAGAGGGACTTGGGCGACCCAGGGCCAATGGCCAGGAGCTGGGCTTGGCTGCATCAGCAGGTCCTGGGCTCAGGGTACAGAGCCCTGAATGAGCACCCCACACTGTCCTGTTGTTCCTGTGGACCCTACAATAATAAATTAACGTGTCCTCCATTCCAGAGGCTGCAGAGTGACAAATACATTTGATCCCAAAATTCTAGGAAACCCTGCAGCCAGGCAGCTTTCAGTCAACCCCAGAGGTGCTACAATAGCAAACATGATTCCACGCACTCCCAGCCCACTTAGACCATGTACACGGGCTCCTGGGAGACTGTACAATAACAAATTCAGTCAGGGCATCACTGCCTTCAATCCCTAGCAGCCAGAAGGGCCATGGTGTCCTGGTGGTTGCCAGGACCCAGTGTGCCCTGTGTGGTTTGTCCATGGAACCTTTTTCCCCTGCAGAACTGGTGCATCAAACGGAGATCCCAGTCCATCTACCTGCAGGTGCTGACAGACAAGCACGCCCCAGAGCACTACAGGTACTGTGTGCTCCCAAAATGGGGAGGCTGGGGGCATGGTGGGTGCCAGCCTTCCCCACAGGTGTCAGTGCTGTGCAAAGTGGGAGGAGCACCCTCTGGAGTGCTGGTGCCAGCAGATTTTGGGTGATATCCATGGGGCAGGGGTGGGGTTCTGCTGGGGTGAGCACATGCTATGAGTGGGGTGTGAGGCAGCAGTGCAGAGGGCAGGGGGTACAGAGCTCTGAGGTCCTCCCCTCTCCCGGCAGGGTCCTGGGCAGTGTCTCGCAGTTTGAGGAGTTTGGACGGGTCTTCCACTGCCCCAAGAACTCGCCCATGAACCCAGTGCACAAGTGCTCGGTGTGGTGAGGCTGATCCCCCTCCAGCAGGCTGGGACCCTCCATCCCCTCCCTTGCCTAAATGACACTTTATGTCCACTCCCCAACTTCCCATCTCCTTCCCATCTACAAGGGTATAGGCAGCAGAAACACTTGAGTTGCGCAGATGCCTCCTGCCCATGCCCCTCCCATCCACTGCCGTGTGCAGTGAGGCATTGTCATTCCCCATGGAGGAACAAGGGCATGCCCAGGCACCCCTGTACCCCCTTTTCTGTCCACCCAGCCCAAACCCTTCATCCAGCCCTACCACATCCATCCCAGTCAGTCAAGGCAGGGGGAGGACTCCAGTGGCTCCAAGGGGCTGCCCCATGCCAGAAGCCTCCCCTGCACGGTGCCCTCCCTGCCATTCCCCATGCCAGCCCATCCTGTCCATGCGCCAGCCCTGCTGAGGTGGGGCACAGCGGTGCAGCCGGGCTGGGTGATGGCAGGCAGGCACTCGGATACTGCTGTATGTTTCACTGCTGTTTCTGGTCAATAAAGCACTGGATATGCTGGGTGGCTGCCAGGGGCCATGGCCAGGGGATGGGAGCAGTGGGCAGCACCCCCAGCCCTGCCCACATGGCACAGGCACCCCCCACTCCATGAGCACGCCTGTCCCAGCAGTCTCACACTGTGTGTTTATTTAACCCCCCACTGCCGTGGATTCGGTGTTCCCAGGGCTGCTGCATCCAGACCAGGGATGCTTCAGAAAGCTGCCTGCAGGTGCCACACCGTGGGGAGGGAGGGAGGGAAGGTGAGTCTGTCCCGTGGGGTGCCCTAGGGACAAGGGATCAGCGGAAGAGGGGCAGGAGGAGGGCAGGCAGGAGCAGGGCCAGGGGGGTGGCGTGGGTGCCAGGGCCAGAGTTCCGCTGGCGGCAGTCGGTGTAGGGCTCGATGCAGGCGGCGTAGGCCATGGCATGGGCTACATAGGTCTGCTCCTGCACCCCGTGGAAGAGGTGGGCCATGGGGCCCTTGGCCAGGATGGCCACGTCTTCACCGCCATGGGTCTCCGACTCCAGTGGCACAGCCGCCTGTGGCTGGTAATCAAACTGCACTGTAGGGTAGGGGAAAGAAGGAGGTGAAGGGAGGCAATGACACCCCCAGCCCCACCCCACCACCCAAGCCATGGTCTCTGTGTCCTCACTGGCTGTTTCTGGGTCCACATTGGGCCGGTCAGGGCCAGGGTATCCTGGCCCATTCCCGTAGAGGATTGAAGTGTAGTTCTTCCCGTCAGTGGTTTTCTTTTGGCCCAGAGCTGGAAAAGGAGCAATGGAAGAGGATGAGGAGGATCAGCCAAGGAACATCCATATCAACCCTCTGGCCACAGTCAGGGTGCCACAGGGCTAGCAGTACCCAGGACAGGGCAGAGCCCCACCAAAGATGGAGGAGCCACGCAGGGTGTAGCCCCCGAAGGAGAAGACGTGTGAGTGGTCAGCGGTGACGACGGTGAGGGTCTCAGCCTCGTCTGTCATGGTGCCAGCCCGCTCGATGGCCGTGTCGAACTCCACCGCCTCAGTCAGGGCCTTATGGGGTGAACCTTCATGGTGGCCACGGTCAATTCTGCCACCTGCAGATGGGCACCCACAGTGGGCTCGGGGCTGACAGCAGCATGCACACCTCCTACCCCCACCCTACAGCCCCCTGTCACTGGCCCCAGGAGCATGAGCCCCAACTTATCTTCCACAAAGAGGTAGAAGCCTTTGGGGTTCCTGCTCAGGATGGTGATGGCCGCCTCTGTCATCTCGGTGAGTGACGGGTCCAGGGTGGTGTTACGCACCAGGTTGTACTTCGTGTCCACGGGTTCAAAGAGACCTGAGAGGGAATGTGTTGGGGACAACATGAGTACCTGAATGTCCCAGCGCCTGTTGGGTCCTGGTACAGGGGTCATTTGTTACCCATCAAATAATTCACGTTGGGGTCGGCGGCAGCAGCCAGCATCTCTGTCCTGTTCCAGACATAGCGGGCACCCTGTGGGCAAATCCCCCAGGGGGTTAGTGGGTGCCTGGCCCTGTGCCAGGGGCAGTGGGCAGAGGCGCGTCCCTGATTTGTCACGCACCGGCCGTGCCACCAGCCACTTGTCGATGAGGTTTATCCCATCCTCACGTATCCCATTCTGCCTGCTGTCGGCGGGGTACTCAGGGTCCGGCGTCCCCACGGGGGTCATGTATTTCCGACCGCCACCCAGGATCACCTGGAGGGGATGGGGCGGATGAAGAGTTAGTGAGGGTGCCCTGAGAGGGGTCTGTCCCTGCTCTCCTCCTCCCGAGCGCGGCGCTCACGTTGATGTCGACGTTGTGGACCAGCTGCCAGGCGATGTCCTTGCAGCCCTGCAGCCGCGCCTCCTGGGGCATGCTGGAGTCCGCGTACCAGTCCCGGTTCACCACATGGGCATAGGTTCCCGCGGGCGACGCGTGCTGCACCCGCGTCGTGGTCACGACGCCCACCGCCTTCCCTGCCAAACCCCGCTCATCAGGCCCCACCAAGGGCAACGCAGCGTCCCCGCCACCAAGCTATGGGATGCTCATGGGGGTGAAGTCCCAGTGTCCCAGTGTGGCACCCCCAGAACCCACAGAGTCCCCCAGCCCTGCATCCCCCATTACCAGCTTTGCGGGCTCGCTTCATCACTGAGATCACCTCGTTGCCGGCCGTGGTGCTGCACTCTGAGTGGCGGGCGGCCGCGCTCACACCTATGGTCTTGTAGTTGCCCTTCACACCACAGAGATAGGCTGTGCCTGTCCCCGCGCTGTCAGGGACATGTCTGTCCACATTGTAGGTCTGCCAGGGATAGAAGGACTCAGGGCAGGGGTCTCCAGTGGGTTGTCCCCCCAGCAGCACCTACCACGCTCAATCATTCACCCATGAACACATGTGGGATGGGGAGCGACCCCATGCACAACATGTGTGCTGCCCTGCGCTGCCAGGGCTGCAGATATAGTGTAACCATGGCCCCATGCCCGGGATCACCATGGCCCCGTTCCAGCAGGCTGGAATTTACCTTAGACAGAGCCACATAAGGGAAAGCATCCAGGGCAAGAGGGGTCTCAGGCCCGAGCTTCCCCTTCTGTTGTGCCTTGAGGATGCGGGTGGCTGTGATGGTGGGGACCCCGAATCCTGGGCAGAGAGAGGATCCTGGTCACCCTCTGGACCAGGTACCCTGTACACATCCCACTCAGCAGAGTACTGGCATTGTCAGCCTGCTTGATGGGTGCCAGCTGGACTCACCATCTCCAAGGAAAATGATGAGGTTTTTGGCTTCATTTATCCTGGGCTGGATTTTGAAGGAGGCATCGATGGCTGCAGCTGCCTGCCTGTACCAGAAGGATGGATTCTCCTCCTCCGCTGGGACAGTGCAAACACCCATCAGTCCCAGATCACCAGTGCCTGCATCTCTGGGGCAGCCCTGAGGGGTACCCAGAGCCCAGGGGTACTTGTTCCCTGCACACTCCCATGCTGGAACCTCCTCTCACATGGAGCAGGTGGTTTGGGAGCTATTGGGGCTGGGGAGAGACCATGCAGACTTGCACTGACTGCCTGGCCCCAGGGCCCTGGGGCAGGGAACAAGGGGGGACAGCAAAACCAGACATGATGGGGAGTTATCTGGTGAGTGGGATAGAGCCAAATCCATGGCAGGGAGCGGTGACAGAGGATACAGGCGCTTCTCGCAGACCAGCCCCCAGCTCAGAAGCAAGCAAGAACCTGGGGGAATACTGGTTCAAAAGCCAGAGAAGGGCAGGGGTAACTAAGCCCTGTTAATTGTTGTTCAGCTGGGCAGCCCCAGCTCCCCTCCCCAGCCCTGGTGGCCAGCCAGGCTGACACCCTGCTTCCCTGGGCACCCACCGCAGCCAGCCAGGCACCCAGCCCCGTCCCTGTCCCCACCTGGAATGACAGCGGTGCTGAGCCCTGCGCAGAGGCAGAGGGTGAGGGATGCCAGGAGCTGCATGCTGAGGTCTGACAGGCCAACGCTGCTGGCACTGTCTGTAAATCCAGCAGATGTGGGAGGGACTTTGGACAGGGATCAGCCCTAGCAGGGTGTGTGGAGGTGTGTGTCACCACATCTCTGCTGAGAGCAAAGGCCGCGGCCCGGGCTGGTGTCACCTCTTTGGCACAACGCCCTGTGCCTGCTGGGCACAGATGGGCTTGGGGCACAGACAGATGCAGGAACAAGAGGAAGTGCAGTCCTGGCAGGAGCTCCTGCCTTGGCCATGGTGCTGTGGAGACAGGCAGGGCAAAGCCCTGTCCCAGGCTGGCATGGGAGCTCTGAGCATTGGATAACGGTGGGTATGGGGAGCACCTGGGGTCACCCGTGCACCGAGCACCTTGCTCTCTTCCCAGCCTTTCATGAGCAATAAATCCATGGATGTGGACTAAAACTCTGCTCCTATCTCAGCCCTTGATAGGAATGGACCAACCCTTGTGTACTGTGCTCCAACCAGGCACAGCTGGGGAGGACATTGCCTCCCCTCACCCGCATTTCCTCATCTCCTGCAGCCCAGTGCCTCCAGTGCCGGTCCCAGGGAGAACCAGGAGCCACAGCCAGCTGGGGAGGCAGGCACAGGGCACCTCAGGAGGTGACAGCCACTGTGAACCTTTGCAGGGCAGATAGAGACAAACAAGCTGTGTTTATTGCATGCCTTGGTCCTGCCCACAGAGGGACTCAGCCAGAGCCTCTCAGCCCCTCACAGTGAGGGCAGCCATGCAGAGGGCCAGGAGGACGAGCAGGGCCTGTGGGCAGCACCGTGTGCCATGGGAGGCCCTGCGGGCTGCCCTGCACCCAGGCTCTGTGGCGTAGGGCTCGAGGCAGGCAGCGTAGGCCATGGCGTGGGCGATGTAGTGCTGCTCCTGCACCCCGTGGAAGAGCTGGGCCATGGGGCCCTGGGCCAGCACCACCACGTCTTCCCCACTGTGAGTCTCTGTCTCCAGGGGCACAGCTGCCTGCTGTCTGTAGTCCTTGTCCTCTGCAGGAGGAGAGGAGAAATGAGGCCGGGGCCTGGCTCACTGACATGTCACAGGGCTGGGGGGACAGCTCCCATCACTCCTGCTTCAGCCTGATTTCTGCAGTGGGACGACTCCTGAGCCTCACAGTGGCACCAGGACGCTCTGTGACGCCACACAGTGTCCTGGTGCAGCCTGGACAGACTCATTGGTAATCTGTCCCCAGCCACCCTGTGTCTCCACCCAGTCCCTGCAGACTCATTGATAATCTGTCCCCAGCCTCCCCATGCTCTGCCACATCCCCAGCAGACCAGTACCTGCAGCAGGGAGGCTGGCAGCTGGCCGGGCCCCATCACGGATGCTGTAGCCAGGACCATTGCCATAGAGGATGCTGGTGTAGGCTCGCTTGTCCTTGGCTTTCTTGGGGGCCAACCCTGGCACAGGGAAAGACATTGTCACCCCCTGTCCCAGCTCGGTACCCCTCCCCAGCTCCCTGCCTGGGCAACCTCAGCCTCCCGTGGAAGCAACAGGGTGAGGTGGAAAGAGGGATGCTCATGGCCCCTCTCCAGGACCCACCAAAGATGGAGTTGCCACGTGGTGTGCTGCCCC